AAAAGCCAAATCCCCTCAAAGTATGATTCCTTTTCTATAACAATCTAGAAAATGCAATTTAGTCTACACTAACATAAATCAGATAAGTGGTTGCCTGGGGTGGGAGTAGTGGTAGTGGGGGAAGGTGGGGAAGGGAGGTGACTTTTGGAGATGATGAATATGTTCATTATGTTGATTGTGACAATGGTTTCATGGGTGTATACATATATCAAAACATAAAAGCTTAGACTTTAAACATGTATTCTATATTGAATATCAACTATCAAATTGTCAAATATGTCAAACATATAAATATGTATTTATGTCTTATAAATCAATAAAAAGATAAATATCTATCAAAAATGATCAAAGGACCTGAACAGGCAATTCATACTATAAATGACTGATAAACATGTTAAAAGCCCCAATTATTTAAAATCACATATTCAAAGGAATAAAAATGAAAATGTTTTCATACCATTTTTCATATCGTATTTTATAGTATTGTGTATTCACCAATTAAAATAGTAAATGTAAACACTCTTGGTCATACCTAGTGTTGGTAACATTTTGGGGAAATGGGAACTCTCATACAATGCTAGTGGGCAAGTAAAATAGGTAAAACTTTGTTGGAGAGCAATTTGACAATACATAGCAAAAATCTAAGATATAAAAAGCTTTTGACACAATTCCACTTCTGGAAATTGATCCTAAGTAAACAGGAATGCACACAAGGATTTAGAAATAAGAATATTCATATCTATTTTTTAAATAATAGCAAAATATTGCAAAGAACCTATAAGAGCAACATTAGAGAATTTGTTGAATAAGATACAGTACCTTTTACCAATGCAGCCATTAAAAATGAAAATGTAGAAGATTCTTTAGAGACATGGAAGGATGTTTATTATATACTATTTTTTTTTTTTTTTTTGAGACAGAGTCTGGATCTGTTGCCCTGGCTAGAGTGCTGTGTCATGCTCACAGCAACCTCAAACTCCTGGGCTCAAGCAATCCTCCTGCCTCAGCCTCCCAAGAAGCTGGGACTATAGGCATGCGCCACCATGCCCGGTTAATTTTTTCTATATATTTTTAGTTGTCCAAATAATTTCTTTCTATTTTTAGTAGAGATGGGGTCTCACTCTTGCTCAGGCTGGTCTTGAACTCCTGACCTTCAGTGATCCACCCGTTTCAGCCTCCCATATTATATACTAGTAAGTGAAAATAGTTACAAGCAGTATATAGCATATATTTCATTTTATATTAAAGATTTGTATAATATGTATATTAATGTCTAGGAAAAAGGTTTTTGCACTGATTATCTCTGGGCTAGGTGATTACAGATAATTTTCATTTTCTTCTGTTTCCCTATGTTTAATTGTCCCACAATGGTCTGCGGCCGCCCTGCCCTGACCGCGCCGGATCCCATCTGCCCTCGGAAGCTAATTGTCCCACAATGAAGATGTATTGCCCTTATAATAAAACTCCAATAAAAGTTATTTTTCAAAAAATATCAGTGCTAATGCCGTATAAATGATACTGTGAGAAATATTAGTCTTGGGCCTTAGTGGCCAAAAACAATATTTAACAGAAGTCTGCAAAAAGGTTTAGATGCCACAGGGAGGCCTGAACTGCTGCTGCTCTATAAATGCAGCCCTGTGGTGTACTGTTTGGGCCTGGACCACCAAAAGTGGTGGCGTGGGCATTGGCCTTGCCCTCCAGAGGAGCTGGCGCAGTTTTGGCCTCCTTGCAAAAAGAAAAGCTATAAACAAGGATAAAAAAATTAGCACTTGTCTTGCCTAAGACAATGGATCCAGTTAGGTTGGGTCCACCCTGCATGGCAGAGGCTCCACTGGGCATTTTCTATGTCTAAGCCATAAAGTCAGGAGTGTGGGACTCACTATTTCCAAGTTTTCATTTCACAGTTATGGAAACTAAGGCCCAGATGGGTCTCTGCATGTGTTGCTCAATCAACATTCCTTCTTGAGAGTTGTAGCAGTGGCTTGAAGTGAAATCAATGCCATAGAGTCTGATAATTAAAATAGCCATTTCTGGAATAGACTTGCCTACTGGGAAGCTCAACACTCAAGTCCTAATGAAGAATAGTTAGCTCTGATACATGGCTTTAAAGCTCCAAATCTCCCTTCTCCCCTTCCTTCCGTGAAAACATGAGGATCAAGGTACATGAGTTACTGTCCCTGTGCCCCAGAACCATGAAGTTCTCTGATTCTGTTACAGCCAGCTGACCTCATATGTGGAAGAAACACATACACTGGAATCTCATCGTTGACTGGCTACAACAGGGCTGGTGAATGGCTTTCACCCTGCATATCAACTGCCACCAGGTTTGCTAGGAATGTTAAGATGAATTACGAGGCAGTGCCTGGCTCTGAGTGAAAACAAGTGTCATGATTGATTAGGGATGCCTTGGCTGTGGGAGGAGTGATTAGCAGTATCTTTGCCACATATTTCCATCTTGGTCTAGAATATCTGTTACCTTCAAAATAGGGTCTCTTCATCACATTTCTCCCACCATCGATTATTCCTACTGAATGTCGGATTAATTTTTCTCAAACGTTGCTTTTACTATGTCAATCTCCTACTTAAAAACCCTCTAAAGGTCTGTTCCCATTCCTCGCATAGGAAATCTACTTCCTGAGTCTAATATTCAAGGCCCTCCACAATTTCATGCCGCATGCTATTCTAATTTCTTAGCAACCCTACACGAAACCTCCTCTCTGGCCTCTCTGGCTTATATCCTGTACCCAGAGCACACACTGTAGTCTGAAAGGGCCACATATAGGAGCCAGGGGTGGGAGCCTGTCCAGATGGGAGCAACTGGACTAATGGACCAGGATGAGCCCCTGGCTGGGGAAGCCCAGGATGGAGGGTGGGCATTAGAGTCGCTGGGGTGAGGGTCTGAGCCAAGTCCAACTGGACGAGCTCTGCCTGAGACTTTCAATTTTGATGGCCTAGTTTCTCTTCCAGTTAAGCTGCCTGTCAATAGTCTTAAAGCAGTGCTGCTTTACAGCTGTTTCTGAACAGGCACCTGATATACATCTCACACATTTTCATCTCTGGGCTCATGGTATCTTCTTCCCCTTGAGTGCCCATTTCTCCTCCTTTCTGTCTGTTTGAATCCCACCTGCATTTCAGTGCTCAGCTCCAAAGCATCACAGTGAGGCTTGGGTCTGTCTCAAATAACCTACTTCTCAGAGTCCTGATACTTGACGTCATTCTCTAATTCATCTCCGCAATTCCATGTGGATGTCTGCTAGTTCTACGGTGCTGGCTTGACACTGACATTCACCACTAGAGTCCATTTCTCCCAGGCAGTCACATTCAGGGCTTTATGAATACTGACTCACTGTCTCATTCAGATGGAGCAGTCTGGATGTGGACTGGGATATTAAGGTGTCTCTTAACTGTTAGATTTAAATACCAGTCTAAGGTAACAAAGCATCATAAACTAGCAATGGAATGCAGCAGCATAAAGCACAGTAAATTCTTACTGCCCATGGCTAAAATGAAACAAAATATTATTCCAGAATGAGGGAGAAAGAAAGTAAAGCTATCACAGAAAAATATGAGCAGGTTAACGTTTTCAGCATGCTGACCGGTACCTGAACGACCCCAAATAGCTATTGAACTTGAAAAGAAATAATTGTTACTCACCCTGCTAGTGATTGGGCCATGATTAACAGTAATGAGAATTTCTCATAGTGATGATCAAAAATAAAGCAGCTCACAGTGCATACATTTAATTTGGAATAAGTTTATCATTTTTAAGCCAAAGAAAATGTGCAATGTGAAACTTGCATGAATTCTGATCAACATGACGTACAAAATCTCAATGCTAAGCTTGTATAAGTTATGGGGAACAGAATACTGCTATTTGTTACTTTATCTGTGTCTTCTTAGTATTTATACCCTGATCAAAAACAGAGAAATCATAAGCATTTTCCATATGCTGATAAGCTATGAAGATTCTTTGCTAGTTTCAGACAGTAATGAAAAGGAAGGTAATCTTTCCGTGCTCTATACTATAGATACCAGGCCCTGTGGCCAAGTTAAGTCATCACCAACGTGACTGGGACCCCATTCACCTCCTGCTCTTGCTAGTTGGTGGGGAGAAGAGTAGAGAAACCTTAAACTTTGAGCCAAGGGAATAATTCTAGCTACCATTATCAACATTTGGGTCACACAGAGTTAGCATGAAGGTTTCCCCTACTTTGTAGGTCTTGTTTGTTTTTTTTTAAAGAGGAATTTTAGGTCCTAGTTTCACAGCACAATTAAGAGGAAGCTATAGAGATTTCTCATGTACTCCTTACTCCTGCACATGCATAGGCCTGTTCTGTTCTGGTGTGAGGGCCCCAGGGCTTGGATGTCCTGTACAACCCCCTCTACCAGAGGGCAGTAGACATGTGGGTAATAAGTTGGTGAAGGTTCCCAGTGATAGATGCCAGGGAGGTTGTAGCTGGTGAAATTATTTAAACATTTGCCTTGAGGAATCTGTCTGGATTGGTTTTAGGCTCTACCTACAGAAGGCTGGCCTAAATGGCATTGTCTTGCTTTTGGAAGGTGCTGATATTGCAACTCTCTCCTTGCAAGTTGATTTTGGCTCTACTTTAGGTGGGAGGAGATCATGGAAGAGTACCAGGGAATGGTTAGCAAGGGGCGAGGAGATATAGGGGCTGTTCTTTACTCCTGTGTCTCTCTCAAAGTTTCATGAGTCAATCTGATTGAGAGGATCTGGACTGTACCATCAACCCAACAGGATTTAGAAAGGGGCCATAGATTGCAATCTAGACAAGCTATCGAGTCCAGACTAAGAACTGCACTCACCTCACATGGAAAGTCAGCCAAGTTTCCACTGGTGAGTCTGGATTCTGTAGGCAATTTAGTGATTTCCTGTTGGCCACCCCCCGCTGCTGCGTCCCTCCCACCAGCAAGCAGTCACCCATCCATAAATCCTGTCCAGCCCTGGATTTCTGCCTAATGTTTCAGAGGGTTGGACTCACCAAGGAGAGCGGAATTCCCAGGATCCAGGACCAGCTGTGTTCCCAGAGGAGACGTCAGCACTGAAGGAAGGTTCGGTCCAGTGGCTGAGAGCAAGGCCCTGATGTCTTCCAACTGCATGGGGACGTGGGGGGGATCTGTGAGAAGGCAGATTGTGAATCAGGCAGGTTACAGCACATAGGCCGTGTCAGGGAAAGAGGAAGGGGAGGGTATGTGCATGTGTGTGTGCGTGTGTATAGGACAGGCATTACTACTGTTGCCTTTTAAGATCATTTTTCCTATAGAGAAGGAGTACCTATCAAGGTGAGTCTGAATTTCAAACTTAATGAATTTCAAACTTGATGCCTAATAATAAGATCAGTAATAAGAACCAGGCATATTAATTTCAGGAGTTCCTCAATTTATACCACAGTACCATTGGGTCCCTGTAAATTTATAGGTAAGTTAGACTATATCGTCAGGAAATTTTTTTTAAAAGCCGACTTTAGCATTTACTGTATGCTAAGTTCTGTGCTAAATAGTTTTCAGTTCATTTTCACTGAATGCTTATAACATCCTTTAGAGTGAGGCACTTTGTTACTGTCCCCACAGAGAGAAAAACAGCACAGGAACTTCTTACTTAAAAGGACTTTTTTTCTATGAAGAAAAAGATCCAGTTGTGAAGTTGATAATTTGCTTTGTGGTATGGATTTTTATGCCCAAATCGGACCCATATAAAGCAGGACAGTAAGAGAAGGTTACTATGGGATGCTTTGTTATTCAAAATCTTACAAGGAGTTAGGGCTGAAGTCATCAGAGGTCATAGTTAACCAGTGCTAAAAGTGACAAAAATGGGAAATACAGTGGCTTATCATTTCCACTGGACAAATAAAGAGGCAAGCACCTACTGAACTTCGTGGTGGGATAATCCAAGATTACCCTGAAAAGAAACAGAATCCCTTCAACCCTCTTCCTGTATCTCCTGAAGCACCGTAATTCACACTTCCAAGGCACTTTCCTCCACAGCACTTGTTGGAGTGGAAGAAACAGCAGTAGTATTGCTTTTGTAATTGATGGTCCTTTCAACAGCATTCGGCGAGAGCCCTGTTATGTGCTTGGCACCTTATTAGGCCCTTGTTAGGGATGGCAAGTAACTAAGTCATGATGGTGCCTGAGTCTACTTCAGAAATATACCTTCAGGCTTTCTGCCTTTGACTGCCAAAGACCATTGCGTAGAGATAACAATGATGAACTTGAGATCATGTATCTATATACACACAAAATATAACTTAAAAAAAATCCCTCTTCACATGGTATAAGGAAAAACACCATGATGCCTGGGTTCAGGAATCCACATTCATTTTATCATTCACCAATTTGGGCAAGTCACTTAATCCCTCTGAGCCTTAGTTTTCCCATCTGTAAAATGAGGTTCCTTTGCAAGATCTCTTTCTACCCTGGAATACCATAATTTTAGGGATTGATGGTGGCAGTTTACTCAAAACTAGTCTCTCTCTTCCTCTTCTCCTCCTTGATTATTTCCTCTTGAAACTCCAGAGGCCTTTTCTTATTTACTGAAACCAGAAGGGAAAGGCTATGTCCCATCTTCACAACAATCAGCTCTCCTTGGGCCAACTGTTGGTTCCTACTAAAGTCCTTACAGCTTCTACAGTATTTTTCTTCTTCGGTGCCTGTCCATTTAATCATCCCATGGAAACTGTAAAAATTCTCCAGCTGTAGAGGTCACCTCTTATTTTTCTCCCAGAACTCTACCAGTTTGCAACTGACATGGGACTTTATGTCAGCAACATTAAGTAGCAACATTTAAATGAACATTCATCGAATAACTACGTGAATGAATGAAAGTCTCTTGACACTTCAAGTCGTCCTTGCACAGGTTAAGTCATAGAACTTGACATGAAATCTCAGCTTTATACACGAAATGGCCTCTTTAAAAATTAAGCCACATTCTTGCTGATTAAAAAAATGAGACATTACTTCTATGTTCATAAAGTACCTATCAAAAACTAACAAACTTTCGTTATTAAACCAAGACTTCTGATCAAGAAAAGCCCTAAACTTCAGAGTCTTAAGAGTGATTTTTTTTTCCCATTGAATCTGATTAAAATAAGGAAGATTTCACGTTCTTCAAACAACACACCGTGTTGTTCATGGTCACACCGTGTGAGAGTTGGAATGCAGTACGAACAGGACCACAAAACATACACACTTCATCGGTGAAGCCACAGTGTTGGCCACACCTCTTAGACTTTCATCTCTGTTAGCAGAGGCAACAAGGCAGGGTGATTAGGAAGGAAAAGCACCATAACTCAGTGTGGGGCAATAGTCCCTGAGCTCCGGGCTCCAGACTAGCAGCTCAGCTGGATGAAACCCAACGCAAAACAAATGACATCTTTCTCTGAGCCAAGTTTTCTGTGGCTTCCTAAGATGGGTGGAGGTTTATGCAGCCACCAGTGAGATGAAAACCCATCTGGGCCTCTGAAACCTGAGTGGGCAGGGGCTAGAGAACCTATATGTTGGTGTATCTTCAACTCTGGGTGTGAAAATAGAAGTATAAACTTTAATTATTTTTCCCTGGAGAAGCCCACGATGTATGTGCATGTGTGTGTGGCATGTAATTATTATTTCTCACGTTTTTCCTTTTTTTCTCAGAATGACAGCTTTCTCTTGGTGAGAAAATGCCCTAATAATTGCTTTTTTCCTTTTTGAGCAAGAGGAAAAAAAGCTTTCTTTTTCTTTTTCTTTTTCTACTCCATCCCACCAACCCCCAGACTCAGTGGGGAAGAAGAGCATGGTGTCCCTAGTCCAGGAGCACAAAGGGTTCCAGCTTGCATCATGGCTGAGACCAGCACTGGGCAATATCAGGTGGCAGATGGTGTCCCAGCAATTGTTATTTTTAAGTATCCTATTTTATTTCAGGAACCATGCTAGATTCTTTAATCAGGGGTTCTTATGTTTGAATGGTGTATGTGGATACTAGAATATAAATTTCCTGGAATTATATGAAAAATTTTACATGTATGGATTTTCTAAAAGGGGAAAGCCATAGTATTTAATCTGATTCTCAACGAAGTTCTTAACACGGAAGGAGTTAGGGGTAATTGCTTCACCTCTGTTACCTCTATTTGATCCCTGCTCCCTCCCTGCAATGTGGGCAATCCTTGTTTCTCGGGTCTCCACGTAGAGACCAGCATCTAAGGCTTAGCAAGGTGAAGCATCTGCCCACTGCCACACAGTTGGCACGAGGTACTAACTGAGGCTTTAAGCTCAAGTTGGCCTGGCCCCAAAGTCTGTGTTCTTTCTATCAAAGGGCCCTAAACTGGGGAGAAGTGAAGGGAGACTGATTTTACCTTTTACATCCTTCACTGCATTGGGGGAAAAAGGAGGTGGAGGGTGGCTTAGCCAGGCAGCCTCGGCAGGGCCCGCCAGAGGCTGAGAGGTGTTTACCAAGGATCAGCAGCCGGGTGCTCTCTGTCAGCTCCCCGTGAAGGTTGGCCGCCCTGCAGGAGTACAGGCCCTGATCTGAGGACGACACGTTTGTGAGCAGCAAGGAGCCCTCGTGCAGGTGGTGAGGGGAGCCCAGTTTGCTTTTATTCCTGAACCAAGTGACTTCAGCTTCAGGCACACCTAGGAAGAAAAAAATAAACTCATCAGTTAAACACATTCAGGTGAACCCAGAGGCACCTATGGCCTCTCGACCAGCCTTCCCTGGGGCTGCTCTGCAGGAAGCATTGCCTGGGCATCTTCTACCATCCTTCAGCCAAACTAAATACTGCCTTGGACCTCTCAGTTGTCTCCAGGTCTTTTGCCTTTTACAAGGTATGCTGATGAGGCAGGAAGAGGGAGGCAGCTGGTAAAGGGTACTGGCCAGGGTGGAAGGAAAGTACCTAAATTCTTTGGAGAAAACATATTACAAAAACATGAGAACCAAATGTATACATCCATGACCATGAAGGATCTACAGCTGCATAAAACAAATATTAAGTAAGAAAAATCAGACACAAGAGTGCATGCTGTATGATCTTATTTCTGTAAGTGAAAAACAAAAAACTGGTAACATTCATCTGTGTTGTCAGTGGTCAGGGTGATGGTTCCCCTGAGACGGTGGGATAAATGGGGAGGGGCTGTCACTGAGAAAGGGGACAAGGGGCTTGGCCTATAGTAATGCTGTTTCTTGACCTGGGGCTGATTGGCGGGGGGAGTATTCGCTTGGTCCTTTATGATATGTGCACTTTTCTGTATAGATATATTTCAATACAAAGTTAAAAGCTACAAGGCATTAAAATATATGTATAAATGAAACAAGTACAAGCTGCTATATCCTTTCTAGAGTTGATACTCTATGTAGAAAACATGCTTATATTTTTTGGAAGCCTATGTGTCTTCCCAGAACAAGAGAACACGAAACAGTGGTATCAGTGGCACCACTGAGAAAGGATAAAAGGAAAGTATTCCGTCCTTCCCACAACCCAAGTTCACTGTGAGAGAGAGCCATGTGCTGGCTTGGGATGGGTGCCGTCTTTGGAAGTCAGGCTCTGTACTCTACGGACAGCGTGAATTCCTTGGGAAGTTTCCTTGTGGCTGACGTGCTGGTAAGCTGGCCCTGGGAGTTTAGGACAAGCCTTCCCAGATGGTCTTCCAGAAATCTCCACAGACCAGGCTGTGAGTGTGTTGGGAGACTGAAAGTCTGACTCACAGGTCTCCAGGGAGCTGAAAGCCCCATCCCTTATGCCCCCCAACCTGCCTACCCAGCTCACAAAATTCACACATAGAACTTTCTGGCACGTATCCAGGCACATTTAGAATGTCAAATCCTGGTAAATGGGGTCAAAGCCAAGAATGGCCAAAGAGCCAGATCTTCAGTCCAGTGCTTTCCCTGAGTTGGGGCTGAATTTTGCCCTTGGGGCAAGGGCAGGTTACCCTTAATGGCCAGCTCAGTGTTGAAGATACAGAGTCTTCAAGGAGCTACCTGCGTATCTGTTACTTGTCCTTAACACTGGCTGGAGAAAGAGAGGCCAGGCTATTGAGAGCAGATGCAGACTTGTCACATCAGGGACAGGCTTACACTAACTTGGGTCAAATGACATGACACTTGATGCTCAAGTGCATGGGGGTGGGGGAGGGGTGGGCAGGTAGGCCTCACCTGCAAATCTACCTGGAGAAAAGATACAGGTGAGGGGCAGAAAGGCTGATTTTTCATTGTAGCACCACTAGGGAGAGCAAGAGCATCATGAGGCCTGCCAGTGCCAGCTTGGACTTTGGACCCTGAGCTTAGTTCTTCCACGAAAAAAAAGAAAAACCCCACAGCATTCAGGAGAAAGTCTCTGAAAGTAAGTTGAAGAAAAACACTCCCAGTCATTTGTCTCCTGAAAGCACAAGGAAAAATGAGGTCTTCCAAACCATTTTCTACAAGTATTCATTCTCTTCCCCTTGCAGGGCATCTTCCTTTGAGGAGAGCTGTATGCAGCAAGCTCTGGGACTGGCAGAGAGAAAATGAGAGTGACAAAGTGGGTGGGGGAGGGGTCAGGGTAGGGAGAGAACCAGGGATGGAGAGAGGCCTGGGAGTGGGTTCTCATGTCCCCAGGAATTGGTTGCGAGCTTCTTTCCTTTCCTTTATCACTCTTTGCCTCGTGCCTCCCTAAAATCGTGCTTGTTTGAGAGGACAGGACTGGGCGTGGACCAAAAGGGCTGGATTCCTCTGGTGAGCGTGGGGGTGGTGGTGTTCATTCAAGGGAGAAATGGAAATGTTCAGGACAGCAAAGGCTGGAGGAGGTAACTTCCAGTCTCTGTAAATCTGGAACCAGCAGTCCCAAGGGAAGAAAAATTAGGTGGAAATCATTCTTTAATCTATTTATGAGCAAACATCTCTCAGACTCACTCCAGCATAGACCTGCATCATGAGTTTGCTGATGGAGGTACTGTTGCTGGTGCCGCATTTTGGGGACTTCCTGCCTCGGACTATGGGCCTTAGGCAGAGAATGACATGAAGAAGGTGCTTTGGAACAAAGCAGTTCTTCCATGACTGGCTCTGACATTACAAAGGTAGAATAAGGAAAGAGGAAAATTGAGGGGTCCTAGAGCTCTTTTTCTTTTTCCTTCAAGAGGTGACAATGATGCTTTGGAAAACTTCACCAGCCTTTGAACGATCCACAGAGTCCCTGGAAAAGGTACCAGACACACACGCCTACTACTGACATTCAGAGTACCTCAGCGTCGGGAGTACACCGAGCAACGCAAAACCATCCTGAACATGTTAGAGGGAGAAATAACACTGAACATTTTCTATAAGCCAGACATTCTATAAACATAATTATTTTTCACAATGATCGTGTGAGGCAGGTACTGTTATTAACTCCATTTTATGGATGAGAAAATTGGGGCTCAAAGAGATTAAGAAATCTGCCTAAAATTACATTAGTGTGGATGTCTGAATGACTACTGGGGACCGGGGAGCAGAGTCCCCTGTTCCCCCAATTCCCTACCCTACGGCCAATCAGTAACCCACCAATGGCAGGGTGGGGACTTAACTGAGAGACATTTGATGCCAAGGCCCCCCTTCCTAACAAGTATACACCACTGCCTGCCATTACTCCAGACTGCTGCATTATTATTTCTAAACCGTCAAATCTTAAATCCTTTCTGCTTTCAGAATGAACATTTCTGCTGTAGTTGGTAACACCGAGGTTGCTGTCAGCGGGGAGGTTTCTAGAATCCATATGGGCTGGCTTTGTTAGCTCTCTCTGGTTGTCGAGAAGTTGGCCAGGCTGTGGGAAATTATTTTTTTCTAGCCTGCTGTGATGTGACAGCATATGCTACAGGAGGAAATATCTAGAAAATGAGAGCAAATATACTTTACCACAGAACAAAGTCCAAAGCTCTGTTGCTGTTGAACACTGACTCGGCTAGCTCCACACTCTGGATTCTCTGGCATTATTTGTATCTTAAAAAGGGGAAGGGAAACAACCTGTATTTGCTTTTTGCCCTCGTGGCATATCTTATCAGCAACACAATGCTGGCTCTGTTGCCCGAAAGGATCAATAAATGAGTGTTAGTCATAATGGGTTGTAACTTGATATGATTATAAGGATTAATGCCTTTGATCTCCACTCAGCTGCCAGGCAGGGTGATCCTATAATATTCTTTTTTTTTAAATCCCAGATACGATAGTCTTGTGAACTGAACCCCTTTTTATATTTGGAAGGCCGCTTGCACCGTGCCGGCTTGTCAACATCCAGAGGTAGGGTGTCCGCTCCAATGCGTGCCTTTACATGATAAATTCTAGAAGCTTCTTAGGTGAAGTGGGAGTGGGATGGCTTGGTGAAAGAAAAGAGAAAGGATACAGAAACTCAAATGTCAGCCTTGTCAATTATTCTAAAGAACCATGCAGTCTGGAAAGGAGGTTCTCAGCCTTCTACGTTTCTCCACTCTCACTGTGGCCGACAGTGATAACTGTTCACAAACCCTGTTTCCTTCCTTTCCCCAAGTTCCCAGTGAGGCTACATTCCCCAGCATCCCTTGCAGTTGTATGTGGCCATGTGACTAAGGGAATGTGAAAAGTATTCCAGGTGTGCCCCTTAAAAGCCTTCCCAACCATCCCCCATGCTTTGTTTTCTCCCCTCTTTTGGTTGACAGAATAGAGATACCCCCCAGGGAGATCTTGGAAGGTAGGCGTTCAAGATAATAGAGCCACCAGCATCCTGTGGCCCTAAATGACAGTGTGGAGGTGGCTCCTCTCCAGCTGACCAGAAGCACTCTTTGGACTCTTAGGTAAGCAATAATAAACTTCTACTATGTTTGAGTCATTATTCATTTGGGAGTCTACCTGACACCAGAGTCTAACCTACTCTAATTAACATACCACCCATCACTGGCTCCTGAGCTCTTTATTTCTGCATCACCAAGTCCTGCCAATTTTATCTCCTAAGTAAGTCCTTCAACAGCTTCCCCTTGCTCCTAGGATAAAAACCTAAACTGTAACATCATCTGTGAGAGTAGGTGAGATCTAGCACCTGCGCCTACCCCCACTTCCCCGCCCTATATGTCACTTTCTTCTCTGCTCTCTATACTACAGCCACACCAGCCACTGTCACTTCCTTAAACGCAGCGTGCTCTTTCTACCTCAGGCCCTTTGCACATCCTGTTCCCAGTTACTGAAACACTCCTTTCTCCCCTGATCCTTTGTCTCCTACTCAGGTTTCTGAACTCTTCTCAAATAGAGAACAAGTATGGGAGTGGTATAGTGGATTGGATCACTTTTCAAGAAAAAGCCCCATTATATTCATTGCTTAGTGCTTTTTATGTTTAAGGGCTGGGAAGAATTTGTAAGGCTGCATTTTATAAGCTGAAAGCACATGTGCACAAAAAGCTGTTTAATGAAAAACTGCTTAACAACTCAAATATGTGAGGACTGACATAAGTCAGTCTAGGTAAATTATGTAATATTCTTAAAATAGACTACTATATAGTCATTAAAATTATGCTTATGACACAGAAAAATGTTCATTATTGAGTGAAAAGGAAGTGGGATAAAATAACAATTAAGGAAATATGCAAATATGTCAACTGTAGTTGGTTGAATTTGGAGAGTGGGACTTTGGACAAGTTTGTCTTTCCTTTTTGGCCTCTTTTTAAATTTTCTGTGTTTTCCAAAACTGCATACTCCAATATTTTGTAATAAGAAAACAATAACTGTACCTACATATTATAATTATGCATTTCATAACTTTTTTCCTTTTCCCCAGACTATGAGCTTTCTGA